CCTTTTTTTTTTTTTTTTTTTTTTTTTGCTAGATTCAGAAGGGCAGGGAAATTTCTTTTTAAACTGAAAGAACTTTGTGATAGGTGTACTTTAAAATGCTAATTTCATTAATATCAAGCTTTTTCAAGGGTTGTGAAAACTCTTGTCAAAAAGTTATGTTTTTCCAGATGGTGTTTTCTGCTATGTTAATAGTGAGTCTGTGTTTTTCTGCCACATAATTTCATCTTTCTACATATTTTTTAAAATTCTTAGATTGCATACTGCCTAGGTTATGAAATGATAGATAAATGATTGGCATTAAAAAATTTTAAGTATCAAAGTGCCATCTATGATGGTGGGAACATTCATTTGAAGACTAAAGAGATTACAGATCAGTATCGATTCTCAGGAGTGGACGAGCGTCATGCTAGGTCCAGACTCGGTACTTTCCTGGTGGAAGGCTTGGTTGTAGCAGAGATGCTATAGCAGCTCTCAGCCAACCAGTATCTGAACAGATAAAAATGCCATACAGTGAAAACGAAACCCAGAGTCGACATTCAGACAGTGGAAGGAGTGACTTTAAACATTTTCTGTATCTGACATAGTTTGTCTTTAAATGTGACATTAATACATTCTGCCTTAAGAACCTGATTGCAGCCTCTTAATAGTGAGACTTTTGAACTGGCAGTAGGGATAGTTTTTAATCTGTGTAGGTTTGTTCTGTGAAGACTGCAAAGGTTTGTGTCTGCATGACAGCCAACTTGCCTTTTGGGAGCGTGGGGATAGTTTATAGAAGCCTGGCAATTTTTCTCATAATACAATGAAAAATGTTCCAACAACAGTTGATTTAAAATGTGTTTCTGCTTCATTGAGGGAGATTTCTAAGTAAAACCTCATTAGGCCGTTGGGAAAGGTGAGTTCCTTGTACCGTCTCTGTGCCGTAGTTGGTGGTTCTGGTCTAGTTCCCTCTGAGAACTGGATGGCCACCTGCACGCAGTGCTGTCAGGCCATGTCCGGAGTTCAGAGTTCACAGGATCCGATGTGCCTCGGTCAACCGGAAAAGCAAAATCAGTCAGAATGCCCCATGCTTAGAGCTCAGCTGGTGAAGCTTCAGCCGAATGGGGTTTAAATAGCAGCTTAAGGTTAGTGCTCTTCTGAATTAACAGCACCTTTATTCTGGGTTTGTTTTTCAAAAGCAGATCTGCACTCTGCCCCTCCTGATGTCACCACGGGCCTCGCACAGCATCAGCACACCTACTGTGAGCGTCCACAGCTGGCTTCCGTGAGAGGAGTCCCTCGGGGGGGCAGCGGGAGCGTCCTAGAGACGGCAGGTGGTGAGCATCCTCTCTTCCTTCTTTTGAGACAGAAGAGCACAGGTATTGGACCTCACCTTGGTGTCTTCAGTTTAGCAAACCTGAGCCAGTCATCAGGTATCATCCTGGTGCACTTAAACTGCCCGTGTGTATATCTTGTGGAGAAATAATCAGGAATAGGTTCGGAATTGGTCAGATGGGGAAAGAGGGGAGTAGGGAGGAGAAAGCCTTCACGTTTAAATCAGACGCCCAGAGTTTGGATCTACGGTACTGTGGGAAAATGAGAAGCTGGGGAAGTTTCCTTTCATGGACCCAGTAGGATGAGGGCAGCCCCGCCTGGGACAGCAGCCCCTGCAGTCTCCCTCCTCAGCAGCCTGTGATCAGTGCAGCCATGGCCGGGCTGTCCCACATGCAGGCCCCGAGATGTCAGCGTGAGTCTCGTCTCCTCATTTGTACTGTTTCCTTTTGAAACAGTTTCCAGTATCTTTTATCAGAATCACATGGAGTTTTCCTTCCAATGTGCCAAATTTGAGTTGCAGAAAAATCCAGAGTATCTCAGGAGTGTTTTATACTCCTGAGCAGTTGGTCAGATTTTTTGAGGTCTTTCAGCTCCTTGTTCAGGTGCAGGAGGAGAAACTGAGTCAACATGAAGCAGGCTTTACATTTGTTAGATAGATTTTAAAATTTTAATTTGTTACTCTTTAAATTTTCTTTTTTAAAATATTTATTTATTTACTTATTTATCTTTTGGCTGCGTTGGGACTTAGTTGTGGCACGTGGGATCTTTCGTTGCAGCGCGTGGTGCGCGGGCTTCTCTGTAGTTGCGTCTCGCAGGCTTAGTTGCCCCGTGGCCTGTGGGATCTTAGTTCCCCAACCAGGGATCGAACCAGCATCCCCTGCAGTGCAAGATGGATTCTTAACCACCGCACCACCAGGGAAGTCCCTGTTTAAAATATTTTAAGAACTTGGTTGAGGTATAAATGACATATTTTCTACTGCACATATTAATGTGTGTAATTTTATCAGCTTTAAGAGACATGTACACCGTGAAACCCCCACTGCAGCCAGCACACCCAGTGCTCCTGGAGGCTTCCTTCCTTGTGTGCCTTTGTAACAGCTCCTTGCTGCCCTTTTTGGCTTCCCTCAGACAACGGCTGATTTACTTCCTGACACTATAGATTAGTTTGCACTTTCTAGGATTTTATATAAATAGAATCGCCCAGCATTTACTCTTTATTGTCTGGCCTCTGCCACTCTGCAAAATTATTTAGAAATTCATCCATGTTCTTGCATGTATCAACAGTTCATTCCCTTTCTTGATCTATTTCATCCTACAGATGCACCCTAGTTTATCTTTTTACCTACCGATGGATATTTGGGGTGTTTCCAGTTTTTGTCTATTAGAGGTAAAGCTGCTGTGACTATTCCTTTACAAGTCTTTTGTGGGTATATCCATTCATTTATTTGGGGTCAATACCTAGAAGAAAACCTGGATCATATAGTAGGTTTATGTTTTAGCTTTTTAAGAAATTGCCAGACTGATTTCCCAAGTGGTTGTACCATTTTACATCCCCACTGTTAGTGATAAGAGTCCCAGTTCCGGGCTTCCCTGGTGGCGCAGTAGTTGAGAGTCTGCCTGCCGATGCAGGGGACGCGGGTTCGTGCCCCGGTCCGGGAAGATCCCACATGCCGCGGAGCGGCTGGGCCCGTGAGCCATGGCTACTGAGTCTGCACGTCCGGAGCCTGTGCTCCGCAACGGAAGAGGCCACAACAGTGAGAGGCC